ACTGAGAGCGAAGTGCTCTGTTAGGAACATAAGGAACAATCAGATCTCTGATATAAGATGGAGCTTGGCCATTTAAGGCTTTATATGTGAGAAGGAGGATTTTAAATTCTATTCTGGATTTAACAGGAAGCCAATGAAGAGAAGCCAGGATAGGAGAGATATGATCTCTCTTTTTCATTTTCATTAGAACTCTGGCTGCAGCATTTTGGATCAGCTGAAGGCTTTTAACTACAGTTTGTGGACTTAACTTTTAAAAGTTAAACACAATCTATCTAAACCTAAAATAAAGTGTAAGTTGCACGTTGAAAGTTAACCTGCGCATCGTTATTGTCCGCACGTTTTGCACACCTGCCGTATAGGTAAACAAACCTACAGCAAACAGAGTGTGTCCGCCTTTGTGCGTGTAGCGCTAACAGGGTTAGCGATTTGTAGCCTGTGTGCTACGTTTCCTGCTTCATCCTTCCCTGGTTAACAGAATGGATAGGGAACAGGATAGGATAGCAGAGGGAGCGTCTGAGGCTTCCGTAGAGATGGAAGCCCAAGCTCTAATTAGCTCAGTGATCTCTTTATCCAAAGAGTATAGAGCGATAAATGGTGTCATCATGGGGGCTTGTGAAAGTGAGATTCAGAACCTGGTTAAGTCAACTAGACATCCAAGAAGAAATCTGTTGGTTAAGGATGTGTTTCGTCATTGTGCCTTGCTGTATCAGAGAGAGTCACACTTAGAAACAGAATTATGTCTGAGCTGAAGAGAGAGAGCCAGAAAGGTAAGAGTGTAGAAAGGTGACCTCCACCATCCTGAGCAGACGGCGAAGGGGGGAGTCCCCCTATACATACGATGAAGGGTCAGATGAAGAGAGTGAACCAGTTCCTGCGTTAGAGAAGTTGGATGAAAAGGGTGCCAAAGGAGTTGCTCCTCAGGCAAACACAGAGCTGAGAGCTGGCATGATGGAGCAGGAAAGCTTTAGTTGTGCAGTAATGCTGTATTGGAGGCGTTTAAACTTAGATTGTAATTCAAACGCCGCGGCTGGCTAAGACAGGGGGTACGAGCTACTGATGACGCGTCACGCTCAACCACTATACGCTACGATGTCCTTTTATTTCTTCCAGGTTTTCTGGGCAAAGCTGTACTTAGATTGATGAGTCGTGCATGGATACGTCAAACAGCGCGTACATGATGGTTTATACCCAGCCGCCATAATCCAGGACAATGTTGAACCCAGGTGAGCACACAAACTAAGTCAAAGACACCACACCCACGGCGTAGATGCCGGTGATTGTGTCCATCGACGTCACATGCTCATGCACATACACCCAGACAGAGGGAGAAAAGCACCAGATATACATATAATCATTTATGGCTCCTGAATCTACCTCAGAGAGGTAGAGCTTTGTCTTTTAACTAACCCAGAGGCTTGCATCTTTTTTTGTCTTTTATCTAAACAGTTATTTTGCTGAGTGGTGAAAGTTGTGTAATGACAGCATTTTACTTACTAATCAACCCTCCTGTCTGACCAGCATCGAAGTCCCGGAAAGCAGCGTCTCCTTCCCTGTAACTGACGCCGCAGGTTTCAGATGCACTGCAACCTGCACCACATGTGATGAAAAAATAAAAGCCAAATACACAAGCTCTGCCATCTGGTTTTAATTTCCTTTTCAAGTTGCAGAAACTACATAGTAGCATGCATTGATGCTTTAATGCTTCGATGTTTCAAACCTTCTTTGGTAGATGATATCCACGCTCACATGCTTTCAATGATGATCACTTACAATAGCTTGTATTTTTTTAACAGTCATTTGTAATTAAGTTTAGCAGCACTTAAACTAAACATTGTCTTTTAGTTGCTTATACTGTAAAATTGTTTTCCCATGATTTCATTGAGATTTTTGTAACATATTCTATAAATGTGAGATTATTCTCAAAGAGTTCGCCTTGATAATTCCACTTTCTTAGGTCTGAGGTCTCCTATTAGTAAATACATCAGTACTGATGTTATTCCCTTCATGTCTCGCAAGAGAAGCATAGGAGTAGACAGCATATCAGGCTCATTCTTTTATTTTAATGTGTGTAATATATGGAGGTGATTTATTGTATTTTGCTATACGTATATGAAATCTTAAAGTTGTTAATTTGTTCTGATCCGACTGGAGTAGTTATTTTCCTTGTGGGCAAAAAAGACGGTTTCCTCAGACCATGTATGGATTACTGTGGACTTAACAACATAACTGTAAAGAATTGTTATCTCCCTTTGATGAACAATACTTTGGACCAGATTTACAGGGTTAAGATGTTCACCAAGTTAGAGCTCAAATGTTTTTGGTTATTTAAGCTTTTCTCTATCTTACAGACCCAGTTTATGCTGGAGGTTTCTTGCGTTGGACCTAAAATAAGAAATTCAAAACCACAAAGGAGGGAGTTATTTGTGCTCAATGTCAACTTTCCCAAGACAAATTAGCCTGTACCGATCAGAGACACAATCAATGCACCGCATTGCACAGTTTATTTTACTATTCTGGTGGGAGTTCTGTTTCCATCAGTCTGTCTTTTGGTTTCCACTCCGTCCGTCTGATGGCCAAGTTAAGACTGTTAACCAGTTGTGCATCCTTACTTCCTCTGATCTCTTTAAGTTGTCTAACAACCTCCCTGGATGAATTATGCCATTAATTTCCTGCCTCCTCGCACCAATGGTCGCTCACACTTTTACATTTTCTATGGTTTTCATTAAGCAGTGTTCCCGGTACAGGAGAGGAAGATCATGTTTGAATAAATGTAAAATCGGCCTGCCATAACCCACTTAATGTAAACCTATGCAATAACTCAGCAGCAATCGTCTCCTTCTCTTCTCCATCCTCTCCTTTGTAGCTGTAGCGTTTCTCTGTCTTTTAACACATTTTCCATTTTATTTTTCATTTCTTCAGTAAAATCTCTATTTCCAGTGGGGTGCCTGTTGCCATGGTGACTTATGGAATCTGGGCTCCACTGATAATGGCTTCATGGCAGCTGTACTGTAGCCTCTATCAATAGGCAGCTTTCAGCAATCAGATTAACACACATTTATTCATTAGATTTCCTGAAACAAATCAGAACAGAAGCATTTCTGTCGTCACTCTTTCACCTTTGACTCCTGAGTCGGTAGCTGCCAACCTTTGCACCAGATCAGGGCGTCCCATCTTCAGTAAAATCTTCTTGGTCTCCTCCACACATTCCTCTTTAAACCTCTCCACCATCCAGTTCACAACATCCTGGATGTTTGCTTCCTTTAGGCAGCTGCTGGAGTCTAGTTCCAAGTTGGTCTCTGGTTGAATTAAAGCCTTGAACTCCTTAAAGTCTGTGACACTGAGCTGGTTCAGCGTTTCAACAAGCTGCTCGGTTGTTTCCATCTTCCCAACCTTAAAAAAATGAAACAAATCAAGCTTCAGCATTATTATTGGAGACATGATATTCTAATAATAATAATAATAATAATTCATTTAATTTATAATGCACTTTTCACCAAAAAGGCCTCAAAGTGCTACAAAAAAGCATTAAAAAAGAAATACATAGAGATAAAAGAAATAAAATAAAATAATAAAAGCTGTTTTAAAAGAGAAAAAAGAAACCTCTAAGGGGAGGGAGAGAATGGGACGGAGTTTGGAGAAGTTACGGAGGTGGTAGAAAGAAGTCTTGCATAATTGATTTATGTGGGCTTCAAAAGTGAGTAGTGAGTCCATTCTTACACCAAGATTACTAACGGTTGATGAAAGCGGAATGATAGTACCAGAAAAAGTGATGCTGGTTCTGGTTAATGATTTAGTTTGATGAGGAGTTCCAACCAGGATGGCTTTGGTTTTGGAGCTATTTAGTTGAAGAAAGTTTTCCTCCATCCATACCTTTATCTCCTCCAGACAGGTGGTGAGTTTTGATGGGGATGACTGTGAGGGTGGGGGGTCAGCTGTGACATTTACATAGAGCTGTATGTCATCAGCATAGCAGTGGAATCAGATATTGTGGCGGCTGATTATTTGACCAAGGGGGGTAAGGTAAAGGATGACGAGGATGGGGCCGAGGACTGACCCCTGAGGGACGCCACACGTTACTGTGTGCGGATTTGATTTGGAGCGGCCGAGGGAGATGGATTCTGTCCGGTTGGTGAGATATGACCTGAACCAACTGAGAGCAGTGTCATTTAGTCCAGCGGTGAGGTGGAGCCGGTTTAGGAGAATGCCATGGTCCACAGTATGAAATGCAGCAGAAAGGTCGAGGAGGATGAGGAGGGATGAAGAGCCAGCATCGGATAACATGAGGAGGTCGTTTGTGACTCGGACTGGGGCTGTGCTGTGGGCGAAGCGGAAACCTGACTGGAATATTTCAAAGAGGCTGTTATGTTTGAGGTGTTCCTGAAGGTGAAGGCAACTGCTTTCTACATGTCTTTACCTTCGGTTTCAGTGACAAGTTTGGTTATGAAACACAATCATTTTATGTTTAAGTTAAAGAAAACTAAATTAATCCATGGAGCAAAAAATATGATCACAAAATTCAAATGTAAATCTGAGCAGATCATTGGCTCCGCCCACATCTAGTGAAAACTAGTGTGATTGGATGAGTCATAGAACGCAAACACTCATTGGTTAGCTAAAGGAAATCATCAGAAGCAAGCAGGTGTTCTTCAAACTGCTAACGTGAATTGTCTATGCCATGCTACAATGTGGGATTCAGAAAAAGATGTTGAAATGTCTGAAAGGTCGGACACAGGCGAGAGCGTATCGGGAGACGGAGACCAACCAGACCTCCCTCATCCTTGGCCCTATCTCAGAGGATTTATAGAAATAGTTAAAACATTGAGCTTTCAGTTCATATAGCGGCATCTGGCTGTTTTTATTAAAGGTTACTTTATACTTTTTACTCAAGTAAAAGTGTAAAAAGTATGTTTTTCAAAAACTACTTAAGTATAAGAGTCCAAGTTGATCCATCAGTGTTTTTAAACTGCAGTATCTATACTTATACTTAAGTAACAAATGTGTGAACTTTTGACACCGCTGGTAAATGACTACTAAATGGTGAAACATCCTGTTTGTTTATTGGTCCAACAGTGACACTGTGGTCATTTACAGTTTATTTTGTAACGCAGTATATTTCTGTGTGTTTTCCTGATGTCCTGTTTTACTAAGCATGATGAGACCCAGTGAGATCCTGAAGAAACCACAGGAAAAATATTAAAAAAGCGCCCTAAGAAAGCAGAATGATCCTGAAGAGGAGTAATGTCATTGACTTTTTTATTTATGCATGTAAGTAAAACTGAATTTTACTAAATTTAAATGCAGAGAATTCATTTCGTTGGTCTGTACTTATGATAGTAAATTTGAATTCTACTAATATTTTTAATGGCCTCATACGGGCCTGATAACATAAGTCAGATAAATGTGCGCTGAGGTTTGTATAAATGTGACATCCTATCATAGCCTGCAGCATCTCTACCACACCTGAAGCTTTTACTATGCCCAGTACCTCTGCCATCCTGTCAGGCAAAACAAGCTTTGCTAAACTGTGGTGGAAGTGTGACGTAGACAGGTGTGGTTTTATCAGATATATCTGATTTATCTGTCCTGATCCCTCAGTAGGGATTGCCTTGGAGTCAATGAGTCGATGCAATCAGCTGGTTTTACTTAAATAGAAACTTTGAATCAATCTGACTGGATGATCTGGTTGAATTGTTTCTATAAAGTGATCTGAGATGACATGATGTGAATTGTTGCTATAGAAATAAACTGAATAGAATTGAAGACTCATTGCATCAGTGTTACAGGTTATTACAGATTGAAATGTCTGTTCTAAAATCACAGCTTGGAGCTTATTTCAGGTTAGAAATCTGCTTTGGAATAACTTTAAGCTTCACAGCAGACTGCTTCACCCAAACCCCTACTTCCTGTCCTGCAGCTACAGCACCGGTTCAACCGGTCCTGTTTTTACCTGAGGAGCGTCACAGGCTGACGGTTTTCTTATAATAAATATAAGTCTAGCCAAGCAGAGCTTTTATAGTTGTGTTAGAAAGCCTTTAGTTAAATGTAAACTGCGATGACTGAATGCATGTGGATGTTTTTTATTCAGTCAGGAATCTCAGAAAACAGGTGATTAGAAACGGTGCAGCTTATCTCCTCTGTCAGAGCTCCGTCCAGCCTCTTCTCAACACCTCCACGTCCCACAGTTCTGGTGGGGCCAATATAAAGCTGGTTGTGGTTTTCTTTTCTTGCAGCAAATTAAAAACCAGCAGTAAAAAGTAACAAATACAAATTTAATAATCAAACCTTTTCTTGTCGTCGTTCCTCTGAAATGAATCCAGTTATTCCATTTATAGTAAATATTTAACTTTTCCCTTTGACACCACCCCACGAAGGAGCTCCAATAGGAGGGAGGTCATGTGACCTGCCAGGAACAAACAACTACATAGAGATTTTCATCTTATGGGTGGAGAACTTGTTTATGGACAAAAGAAAAAATAAATTTTACTCTAGATCTTTCATACGTCTTCATCTATGAACACATCTACTGATCTGCTAGACCAGTATTACCAGCTTGGTAATGAATTCTCATATCGCATCAAGAATATTTTCATTATGACACCATGTAGAAAGTTCTGCTAAAACTGTTTGCATAGAAGGGGAGCAATAAACTAAGAAAAAAATAAAAACACCCCTATAACAATCTTACAAGAAGAAAAACGTGTGGAAGATCTAATCAAAATTATCAAAGGAAAGATCTGTAGCTGTAGGAGGAGACTAATAAACAGCCACGGACTTTAACCGGCTGGCCCACAATAATCTGAAAGTCTGGAGATGGTGTGATAAACTTTTAGTCATGATTAACATTTAAAATCCCAGTTAGAGCCACACTGATACACGCCGTGTCCTGAGGACGTAGTATTCTGGTCAGGTTTAAATATTCATGCTCAGTTTCTCATCCAATGTCTGGGGGGACAGAGGGGGTCACGGCTAATTCAGTGGCGACTTTCTGAATATTGACCAGAAAACTGAGGATCCAGAATTCAACCAGATAAAACGAGAGATGTTTAAACAGTTTATTTGAATTTAAAACTGCTGCAGATGGGGAGGGATTCACCAGAGCCAGAAACCGGATCGTCTTCTCGGAGTTTGAGGAAAAACTTTAAGGGTTTCTGAAGGAGTCGCTTTCTGTGTGACGTCACTGATGGATCTCTGAGGATTCCTGGGTCTGTCCAGGTTGGTTGGGAGGCAAGGGTGTAACTTTGAGATAAAAGTTGGTGGGTCATGTCCACACCGGTCCTTTAGAAAGTTACGCCTGTGTTGGGAGGAATCCTTCTTTGCACAGGGTTAGATCTGTGAGAGCAGAGACTGTCAGGACGAGAACAGACCAGGGTACAGACCAGAGAGCCGGAGCAGAGTTAAAGCCAGGTCATCCGAGATCAGGAGACAATCCAGGGGGAGAATCCGAGGGTGAGGTCAGAGATCCAAAAATACGTCATGATAGGTCCCATTGGGTTCAGGTGGGCTCAGAGAATCAGGCAGACAGGTAACAGGAACGCTGGATTAAACTCACCGCTGACTCTTAATAATCTGGCACTAATGAATGGACTGAGAGATGGTTAGATGGTCAGGTGAGCAGGTGGATCAGATGGAGGCTGATTGAGAAGGGGGCGGAGCTAACAGGTGTGTTGGATGATGAGTCAGACCAGCACTAGTGCCAAGAATCTTTACAAGGAGATACGACCTGCAAAGGTTATTTACAGTTTATCAACAAGTTAACAGAAATTTAAAAAAATCCTAAACCAGAAAAATCCCCCGTATGAAGCCGATAGTTAGAATCCTGGAAACTGCTCCAGGGGTTTTTTCATCTTCTCAGGGAGATAAGAAAAAACACTGTAGGCTGTTAGCGGGGTATAGACTGCCCTCCCTCCCTCCCTCCCATCCATCCATCCATCCATCCATCCATCCATCCATCCATCCATCCATCCATCCATCCATCATCCAT